AAGACATGACCCGAAGGCCACACCGCCAAGTGGAAGTCCATGGCCAGGCCTTTAAATGCCTATGTAACTGGACGAAGAAATAGACAAACAATCAAAGCATCACAGCTATGAGCTTCTACTAAATTTTGTTTGACAGGTGTGCCATTTGAGATTAATCGCGCCACACCTAGTAACTAGGTAAAAATCGAACAGTTTTAAGTAGTGAAAAACACGGAAATTTTGTAGTTTTGCGGAACCATAGAGACAAAGACATTTCCATTATATAGCGAAGTTGTGTGCATGAATTATTTCAATGGTGTGGTATTACACTTGCGGTAGGTTTACACCAACCCCGTGGCTCAATGAGACGACAAACGCTGCCCCGTTTTACGCTACGCAGAGGAAGAGGTCCTCCTCTCGCCCTCCTTCTGGATCCAAGGCTCTGAAGCTGAAGGGAAAAGAAACACAAAAATACTGCAGTTATATTTTTGCGCCTTTCCTATACTACTCATAACCATATAGTCAGAAAATTTTGCCCCAAAATTTACAAGTAACAAGGCATATCTGGAATATTTTAAGGTAGATGTTAAAGTTTTGTAAAATCTAGTTAAAAAAGGTTACCCCTTTTAAAAAACCTAAAATAAAGGGACAGAGAGAGAGCTGAAACGCCTCTTTCTACGCCTCTTTTTTTCGTCACATTATGCAAAAAGTAGGATATTTTTTGAGGATTCTTTATATCTCTACTCTAATTCCCCCAAAATATTTGGATAGGAGGCAGAACTGTCCTTCCCAAATGTGGATAGGTCTGGACAAATACCTGAGATGATCAAATTCCTCTCTCTGTTTGTATAAGTCCCACCTACCATTAAAATAAAGTAAAGAATGTCCTTATTTATGATGGTTTAATAAAAGACACTTTACAAGAAAAAGAAAATAAAGGACTTTTCTAATTGGGGATGCAAGTCTTTCCCTCTCCCCCGCCATTCCCAAAAGGAGAAATAATCCTCCGTTGTTAGAATTTGAAGGTTGTTTCGACAGTACCGCACTCCTGACAGCTCAAAATGTGCAGTTTTGATTTAGGAGAAAATTTGAAGGGAAAAATTTCTCGGGCATTTAGCCCAGTGTACCCGAATTTGTTTCCAGAAGGTAATAGGTGACTCGGACCTAGTTATCACAGCTTCAGTCTCCTCACTTTTATTTCTAGTCTGTCTGACTGGTCTGTCCTGTGGGTGACTGTTCATTTACTGCCTTTAGTAGGGAGTAAAGGAGAAACTCATCATTCCATAGTGTATCACCAAGGGAATAGAGATGAGGGTGTACAGAAGTATTACTTTCTCCACTCTGAAGAAAAAAATCTTCGTTTCGGCAAGATTTGAGGAAGTAGTAGATTCTCTATCTTCTTGTCTTTTACAAATCCACCTTCTCTTTCGGCTGATCGACTCATCATAAATGCCTCTGAAGAAAAAGAAGAGGAGGTATTTCTCGAGCTTCTCCAAACTGTGTTGAGTCATATCAAGTGGACAGACCTCAGTTGTGGATGTAATGAATGATTCCACCTGAAATCCACGGTATGCGCAAACCACAGCCTTTTAAAAGTAAAGTAGTGCTGTTTGAGTTGGAGTGATGTGTGAGTTAGAGTTAAGATAGTCAATTGCTTATTTGTTTGCGTGCTAAAAGTTTGAATTCAAGGGCCCCTTCTTACCACAAGTCCATCAGTCAGTCATTTAGCCAACAGCCCAAATTGAAGGGATTCAACAAATTTCCTGCCTCAGTTAATTTGGATTTAAAGGAATTGGTTCATCACTCACGTCAGACAAAAGCTAATGTGTGTAGCATGCTGTTTTCCATTTGACTTTAAGAGAGACAAATATTTTCTCGTGGTCAATAAGAGAGGACCTTCTTGAATGCGTTTCATGTACTTCTACCTGATCTTCTTTTAGAATGTCTTCTTCGATGGGATGATTTGGTCCTTCACCTCCGCAAAGTGTTATCTGCTCTATTCGAGAAGATTCCGTAACTCTGAAACTAATTTGAACTTTGCATATAAAGCTGACAACCCTGAATCCGAGTCAACCGACATTAAATGAGGTGAGGGAGGATCCAACATAAGCGGATCAGGCAGTTTAGCACATCCCTTCTCTGGTACCTGCAACACATCGGCAAGGCGGGCTATATTAGCAATTGTCCAGACTAGTAGGTCATCTAGAAAAGTTTCCTCTTGAAACAAAATTTGATAGTTTTTCTTTCTTTTTTTTTCTACCTAAATGCCGTTAATCTACATTCGGAGAGGAAGACCACTTATTTCAGGACACACACACGCAAAAATCATATTTTTCCCAGCTCCAAATCCTTCGGCAGAAAGGAGAGAGAGAAGGGGAGGTAAATTTACAAAGGCATCATCTCCTCATCGCTTAATTTTTGTGTAATTACGCATTTCTCTTACAATCTTTTCTCCTTTTTCTCCCCCCCCCCCCCACAATTATACAGTAATGAGGCTCAAAAGCTGAACATGTGGGATTTTTCCTGTAATTTCGGAGCTCTGATTGCTGACTAATCACTGATCTCTTCTAATCTGGGGAAATTTTTTTCTCGCTTTTTTTACTTTGGTTTAAAGGTCAAACCGTCTGAATGGGGGGATGGCATTTGTACCCTTTTCTTCATAAATGTATCCATTATTCCAACCACTTCCAATTTTCTTCCGGATAGTAATAAGCTCTTATGTGACCTCTTATGCATAGTCGACAATTTGAGGGGAAAAAATTGCCTTTTTAATGGTTTTCTCACTCATTTGCTAAATTGTTAATCACCTCTTCTCCCTCCGAGGTCTCCCAGCAGTCGTGCTACACCGAAGTAGTGGGGAGAGTGGAGGGGAAATGATCTACTTACTAACAGATTGAGGAACTGGAACGCTATTGGCATGACTCGGTGGAGGAAATGCAAATCCTGGAGACTGAAACGCCTGCATAGTTTGACCCCCACTGAAACAAATTGTCAAATTTTTAGCTTTCGAAAATAGTAAGCTTGCTTGTGGCCTGTGATGCATAGTGGACTAGTTAAAAGATAACATTTTTACCCAACTCACTCATCTGTTTGATTGTCAGTTGCTTATCTTAATTCCTCTATACTTACTGCACCGATCGGAGTCTTTTCCGAATTCGCAAGAACATGCTACTTAATTGCCTACTTAATAACTGGGAAGCTACAGGTGCGGTCTACGGGCCGTAGCCCAGAGCGGAAGTACAGGCCACGGAGTTTGCAATCGTCCGGGGTGGTTTAGCACTCAGTGCAAAAAATCACCAAATTACTTCATAACGCCGCAAGGCGGAAGTAGAGCCTTCACAGATTAAACTTCCCGGGAAAACTATGTGACAAAATATCAAACAAAGCACGTACTCATAGCAACGCCCTACGCTCGGTTGAACTGGCGGCTCTGGTCCAAATGGGCCTCTAAATTTGTACCACTTCACTTTCTCGAGACCTCCTTTGGAAAGTTGCACGGCCTTTAGCCCCTTTTTTGCCCTCAACTGTGCGTGATCCAAAAATGTAACGAAGCCGACAGTAGCACACACCCACCCTCTCTGTCCCTACCCCCTTGGCATATCCAAAAAGTGGGAAGACTTTCAGTAACGCAGAGAACCTCTTTTAATGATTATTTGAATTTGCTAACGCACACACAAAACACCAAAATGTAGATTTTAATCGTCATGAACAAGGGTATTCCCAAGTAAGGGAAGATAGGATTTTTTCGGGCCAAAAATGCGCTCCCAGGTGAAAGAGATCTAAAGAATGTTTTTTTTATGGGAAAGGCATGACATCCGGTTGATCAAAGTACCTAGCTTGTTTTAATTAATACCGCTGAAGTGACCTTGAGGGCG